ACACGTGAGTAAACGTATAGTATAGTATACCCACATCGTAGTTGCGTAGGAGTGAGTTATTCACACATTTTTGAGGGTCAATGTTGTCAGCTGGTGCTTCCTACAGGCGGCACATGTGGTGTGGGCCGAACTCATACTGCTAAATCGATTGCTAATCATGCTAATAATATCTGCGACAACGCTTCCTTCCTGAATGTCCAAATTGTAAGGTACTGCGTTAGGCGAATTAATCTTGGACGTATCGGTTACTTAACCTGACTTATATACTTTTTTCCCTAAAATGTTAACTTTCTCTTGTATAAGTTTTGAATCACTTTGTATAAAAAAACTAATGCACAGTGCTGTTTGTCAGTAAATTTTTTCTTTCTTATTTTAAATTTTATAATCTAATGCTGCTAGTAGTTTGTATTCACACAAATTCATTATTTACATAGTTAAACTTTTTGAAAAAAGCATCTTGTCCATTCGTCTTGGCATAAATTGCATTTCGAATGGGCGGTAATGAAAAAATTAATATTCAAAAATGCGTATAAAAATATTTATATTTTTATACGCAGTTTTTTCCTTTTGAATTCGATTATTTTATAAGTTGACAAATAAAATAAATTGCAAATTTTCACACTAATCAAATCCTTATCTTGGTACCTGTATGTATGAATCATCCTCAGAGATTACTTAATAGTTACATTGTCCTCGCGCAAGACGCTGATAACGCCTACACACAAACAGCACGTGAATATTATTATGCACACTTGATAAATATATTTGTGTATTTGCAACTAAGATTTACATTACTACTTATTGCAATTATTTTCCTCATGAAATATATTTTGGATATACACTCGTCTCGGTCAAAAGACAAGGGTATTTTTTTACTAAACTACTACTTATCACGCAATATCCTAAATTCTTTCGCTGACTAACTAGTAGAATTTAGAAGGCTTTTACACCAGAGGGAGACTACAAAAGTCGTTTGCTTGGACACCTCTGTCCCATTGTGTTTCCACCGTGAAGCAGTTGTGTTTGCATGACTATGTTTCGGTTTGAAGGGTGGAATATGGCAGTGAATTAACAGGATACAGAGGAATAACTGAGTCTATGGTACTGCTCATGTCTATAGGCGACGGTTACCACTTCCCATCAGGTGGGTCGGCAGCTTGTTGCCATTCTAAGTAGCATAAAAATAAACTTATAAAAACGATTATTTAAGTACTTCAGGCTGTGCTCTCGACCGCCAAATGATCGTTGTCATCTCTGGATATCCATCTAATCGTAATGAAAGCCAAATTGATTTACTTATAGAGTTACGAAAAAATAAGATAACCAGAAAGACTAAAGCGCAACTTGATAGTTCAAATTGAATATTCAATATTTAAAAATAATATTTAAACATTTTATTTTTAAATATTGTTCGAGCAGGCACTTCTTTAAATATAAAATGGGTACTTAAAACATAATATTTAGTCAAGTCCATTGCATGGTTATTAAACAAATGTTTGTCAGTGAATGACTAGTACATCACATGCGTTGCAAGTTTGCAGCGATGAATTTGTGGGAGCCAGCGACGCCTAGCGGCGCGGCGCTGCGGCGGCTGGAGCGAGTCACCCACTGCATCACTCACCCTGCTAATTCATGATTTAGTCAGCCATATCACATGCCTACCTATATATAGGTATACTCGCACAAGATGACTAAATTACGAATTTGCATTACTTTTTTTTATACCACTGACGTGGCAAACAAGCATACGCCCCATCTGATGGTAAGTGGTTACCGTAGCCTATAAACACCTGCAATACCAGAGGTATTACGCGTGCGTTGCCGACCTTGAAGAAACCTCTTTACCCCCCTTTTGAAGAACCCCATGCTGTAGCCTCTTGGGAATACCTCGGCAGGGAGCTCATTCCATAACCTCAGCGTTCGTGGGAGAAAACATCTCTGTTTTTATGTTTAAACATTTCTGTTTAAACATTACTGTACTTATGTGTTACAATTGACGCCTTTTAATTAAAATTATGGGGAAACTGCTATCCAATGAAATAATTTAGAAGTCTCTTTTCGTAATCACCATCAGGTAGACTATACGGTATATTTTTAAGGCAAAAAGGAGTTGCCAATGGGTTAGGCTCTCTTCTCGAAGACTCCCATATTGAATTTGAAAACGTCACTAGTGTCTTATCTAAACTGTTCAGAACATTGATAGTTACAATGTTTGTATTTATATAATGGTAATTTGTAGAGAGGACAAGGTTTGTTAGTTATGGAGTCTAACTGCCCAGGTTATCAGGGCGACTTCCACGCGGTTCCACCTGGAAAACATTCTGGTTAATTATTGTTCAATTCGTCATGATGGGCCAACTGATCTGCTTCATTCTCACCTATTATCCTTCACTGGTGCCTCCCCTGTGTATACCGATAGAGTAGGCGGAGACATTATTTCATTTTCAAACGTTAAGAAAAATTTTTGCGTAATTTGTAATTGGTTTTTGTGCAAGTAGTCAGCTTGAACGAGTAACTGAGATTGAGACACAAATGTATCTACTAGGAGGCTATAGGTAGAGGCGCACATATCATCATAAAACAGAGTTGGTCATGATTCAAATTTCCGTCCGTAGGAAATGGTTAATAGATTGGCGCGCGGGTTCCGCTAGACGGATGTAGCGAGGGCTCGCTCACTCACTGGTGACATGTCATTGGACAAGGGTTTCATAGTGCTTTTATCGGATCGTAAATTATTAATATATGAATCGAAAAATGAAATTTGGTAACCGAATGGGAGACATTCAAACACAGCGCGGCGCGTTCGACAGTGTAGTTTGAAATAAATTTATTAGTTCGCCTTTTATAATAATATAAATCCACTTTGAATTTGCTAGAAGAGAACTCTTACAGAATTAAGCTAGCCTGTTGTACATCTCTGTTTAAAATAACTTATAGCAATGTAAGCTTAGTATACAATAACATATAAATAAATAAATGCTGAAGTTTATAAGAATTGATAGATGAATGTTTACTAATTCACGCAAAAACTACTGAACATATTCGAATGAGATTTGGTACACGGATAGGCTATATCTTAATTTATACATAGATAGATACTCTTTATTGTTTCCCCCAAAAGATTATTAATAGAAAAGATTAATAATAGTAAACTTATTATAAATATAAATAATTACAAGAAATAATCACAATGAGAAAACAATGGGCGACCTTATCGCTAAGAGGGATCTCTTCCAGGCCGTACAGCTTGCACCGTAAACATATTGTCATAAAAATTAGAGAAATGTACCGGAGTCTTCAGCTGGAGGCCCTCAGAAGACCTAAGATTAAAAGAATTGACGGTATGCAGGAATTCAAACAGGAATTTAATTTAGCACAGTATTATATTATTAATTTACGCGGGCAAAGTCACGGTATACAGCTACTCGCAAATATTGTCTGTCGTTTCCTGACCCATGTTCGAGAAAACTGTTCAGATTCACTGATGAACACTCCCTTAAAAAGATGCTATTTCGACACACAAGGAAACTCTAATAAAAATCAAGCATAAATAAAATAGAATGTTTGTGCCTATTGCACGTTCTATTTAGCAGCGACGTGTAAATCTGCTCTAAAAAATAATAAAACAAACCGCAGCGTTCGTACAATCGTACCGCAGCAGTCGGCGGCTGCTTATCATAACCTGAAATATTGTTTATCGAGCGCGGTGTACTTTACTATTGTAGGTATGTCTTTACAAGTACGTAGTGCATAATACCTACGTAATGGTAGTAATAGTGCCGCTTGTGGTTAACGATTTTACTGCCACTACTGTATTTTTTTTTGATGGGTGAAAATGGTATGGTAACCCCGCCTGCGCTAACGGGATACGCTGGCGGAGCACCAGTGAAGGGTGATAGATGAGAATGAAAACAGGCCAGTTAGCCCATCATGATAAATTCATCAGGAATTAACCATGATAGTTTCCAGGGAGAACCGCGAGGAGGTCGACCTGGTTGGATATCCACTACTGTATTGAATATTTGTATATAACACGTCCACACACACACATGGCCGTGTGGTCCCGGCATAGAATAGGCCACCCCTTCCTTTCCCGTGGGTGTCGTAAGAGGCGACTAAGGGACGGCGAGGGATCGGCAGCAGCGTCCCTCTTAAAACATCTCTTAACTCTGACTGCGGTTGCCAATCCGCCTGCCAACTATTGGCAAAACCCTCAAGGGGGAGGCTTATGTACAATAGTGGACGGTTAAGGGATAATTGGACCAATATATTCCCTCATTCTAAGAAACAAAACTGTTACCCTTATTGCCTGCATCCTTTTTTACGTATGTGTTCTTACCTATATCTATTTGAATAATTTCCTTGACATTTTTTTTTTTATTATATCTTTTCCATTTCCACTAATTTAACGCTATCTTTTATACATATCTACGTATTGTAGCGGCAAATAAGCCTGACGTAGAACCAAGATTAAGTTTGCAATACCAATAGCATTGCTAGTGCGTTTGCAACTTTGGTTAAAATTTTTTACGACTTTTTTTAAGGACCCCGTTTTGTACAATACAATGTCCACTTGCCTGTGTATTGTTACGTCCACATACTCTAATTGTTTTCTATAAAGTTTCATAAATTTGGTATGCATGTCATATGGATGTTTTTTTTTTATTTAATGTATGATAATAGAATGGTAACCCCGCCTTCGCTATCGGTATACGCTGGCGGGGTACGAGTGAGGGATGATAGGTGACGATGAAGCAGGTTAGTAGCGCACCGTGACGAATGTAACAATAAATCAATCACGATGGTTTCAAGAGGGAACCATGTGGAAGTCGACCTGACAGGGTATATTGCTAGCAGTGGGGCTACTAATCCCCATTACTAACAAACACTTCTCCCCACAAGTCATATGGATGTTAAGATCCACCGTAACTTTAATTGCGGTGGGTAATTAAAACCTACCTTCTAGGTCGGGTCCTGTATGTTTGTATCGCTTGTTGCAGCGTGGGCAAACTGAACTTGGTGGACCTGGCGGGCAGCGAACGGCAGCGCAAGACGGGCGCCTCCGCGGACCGGCTGCGGGAGGCGTCGCGCATCAACCAGGCGCTCTCCTCGCTCGGGAACGTCATCTCCGCCCTCGCGGAGAACAGTCCCCATGTTCCGTACAGGTACCAGATACCTACAGTTAGCACTGCACCAGTGCACTCCATGTCAATAATCTATCTAGCTGTTTAAATGTATAGATTGTATATTTTTTGAATTTGTTAAAGGTACCTTCTTATAATTATTTTTTTTAATGTTTTCCGCTGTTAACTTTCTTAATTATACAGCACTATCATACATACTTGTACAACAATTAGTCCATTACCCTAAAGTTGTCTTGTAAAGATTGCTCTCAGCAATAAGACCGTCTCACTGTACTTGTACAACTGTATCGTTATATTTGTTAATTGTCTTGCTTATTTCCTATATTGTATAATGCAAATAAAGTATACTCATTCGATCATTCAAAACTTAATCCATTTAAACTTACTTATCACTTATGACAAGTCTATCCAACTTTTGGTTGACTTCGTCCGAGAAATAGTGGCAACAAACTGTAGTATATCCTTTTAAAAAGATTGTAATCACAATAACCGCAACATGTACATACGAGTACTTACTTGGTGATGTGTTCACGTCCGACACGTAACACTCTATGTCCTGTATATGGTCGTACGCAGGGACTCGAAGCTGACTCGCATCCTGCAGGACTCACTGGGCGGCAACAGCAAGACCATCATGATCGCCAACATCGGCCCCGCCTCCTACAACTACGACGAGACCATCACCACGCTCAGATACGCACATCGAGCCAAAGGTAAACAAGTGAACAAAGTAATAAAGCAATTACATTCCTCTTTTAATGTTGCGCAATGGTCTACACAGATGGAAGACTGTTCCTGGCGTACTTTTTGGCCTTTAAAAATTACTCTGAACTGATCGTGTAACGGTAACTAGGCGTGAGAAATTACAATCCTTCATTGATGCAAAAAAAATCTAATCTAGATATTAAAGATTCGATCTTTTAGTCGTAAGTGCCTTGATCTGTATTTACTGGGCTCCATTTTATTAAGGCGATCAATTTCAATACATTGATTGAAATTGTACAGTAATTGTTGTTGTACAGTAATTTTGTTTTACAAACGTAAAACCGCCGTAGTTAGATAGATAATTTATTTGCATTACTTACAGCACACTAATAACAATACACATAATACACAGTAAAAGAGATAAAAGAATGAAATGCAAAAAAAAGTAACAAAAAAAAAAAACAATAAGCAAAATATATAATACAACAATTTCCTACTTTCATGCGTGTGCCGTAATAACACAAAATGGTCACAACTCAGCTTATTAAAAAGCTAAAAAAGCAAAACACTTTTATAAAAAAAAAATCTAATGTTCGTACTTTGTACGGTAGGGTAACGATGTCTCCGACATACGTATAATGATATTAATATCATACTGCGTGCAGCGATAAAGAACAAGCCGGTGCGCAACGAGGACCCGAAGGACGCGAAGCTGCGCGAGTACCAGGCGGAGATCGAGCGCCTGCGCGCGCTCATCGAGCAGCGGCGCGCCGCCGACGGCCGCCGCCGCGCGCCGCGACCGCCGCGCGCCCAGCGCCCCGCGCCGCCGCCGCCGCCGCCGCCGCACGGTACCGCGCACCTTCTAACGAAATACATTACACCGACTCACAGTTTCCGTCATTACATCTAAAGTACTAACTTCGGACTTGAGACTAATCTTGGGGTTTTTGGACCCTGCATCCGTGTGCTCTGCGTACCCTGTTCTTGTCATAAAATGGGCACTGTCGCTTATTCCCTTCCCCTTTCCCTGTTTCCAACAAAAATACGTCGCCTAAATCATGTATTAACGACGTGTTTTGAAAAGACTGGCGAAAATGATGACCATAATGTTTGGATTTGTTTTTTATACAGAGTTTATTGTCAGATAGATATACTGTGATATCTAAAAGGCCAAACTACTATTTACAGCGGAAGAAGAAACAGTAAGCATCGAAAACGAACATATAATTGCCGAGTCTACAATAGAACAAGAGAAATGCAAGACGGAGGAGTTGGAGCTTCAAATCAAGTCGCTAGAAGAGCGGCTGGTACAGGGTGGCGGGGGCAAGGACCTCATCAACAACCTGAATGAGAGCCAGATCATTCTAGAACAGAGGAACATGGAGATAGCGGAGAGGAAGAAGCGGGAAGTGGAGATGCAGCAGAAGATAGATCTCGAGGAGGAGACCACAGCGATTGTGACGAATACGTTCGCCACCTTACAGCAGGAGGTCGATCACAAAACACAAAGGTAATTTGTTTGTAGTTTAACACTAAAGACATGTATTTATGGAAAATATGTTTTATATTGAGTGTAAAAAATGATACAATCTCGTGCGAGGTTCGCAACTTGATATTTTGTAATTGGACTTCTAATATAAAATTAAGTCAGGTAAATAAATTTTTCTCAAACATGCTTGGAAATGTGAGCATTATTTTGACAATCTTCTTCGAGATAAATCAAAATTGCCATACTGGCCAAGATACATGCGGGCAGCGGCCGACAAAAGTTATATGAAAATCCATATATGTCGTATTTTGTGGCCAGATAAATTACTATGTAAACTCATATTTGTCCTGTAATTTAAATATGGAATGACTTTTTACTTCGAAACATGGCTATCAAGGAGGTAACTAATACAAGGTTTTATTTAAATTTCGAACTGGCTTGCAATAAGAAGGCAGTTTATTGAAAAAAAAAAAAAGAAAAGGAACATTATGGCGCGTGAAAAATTATTATTGTTCGTTATACGTCATTGAAATTTAAAATTGTGTTTTTGATTTCCGCGCATTGTTTGAGAAAAGTACTATACAAGCCTTGGCCACAACTAGGTATTGATGACACTCACGTATGTATGCCTCGGCTACGCCTCGACCCACATTTGTACGTTCGTCCATCAATGCTTCAGTTGCTGGCCGCTGCAGTAATGTACTATAAATGGCTACTTACTGAAAATTTAAGAGAATTTTGACAAATTCTCTTAAATTTTAGGAAGAAGGTGGGCAATTGGATACATTTTAATCGGTCGTTTTTGTGTGTAATAAAAATATGTGAAAATAAGCCAGTACTCGTAAGTTGTTGAAAGAGTTCACAGTGAGGTCACACCTTGTTTGTCTTCATTACCTAAGCGAGTGGTTACGAGCGCGGTGTCCTCCTGTCTCAGGTTAAAAAAGTGCCTGTCGAAGTACGCGAGCCTGCGCGAGGAGATGGTGGAGCAGCGCGAGGCGCACGACAGCGAGCGGCGCGAGCACGAGGCGCTGCAGGCGGCGCTGATCGCCGAGCTGCGGCGCCGCCTGCTGCTGGCCGACAGCTTCGTGCCCGAGGCGGGCCGCGCCACCGTGCTGCGCCTGCGCTACGACGACGACAGCGACGCGTGGGAGGCGGCCGCGCCGCGCGCCGCGCCGCCGGCCGCCGCGCCGCCGCGCCTGCGGCCGCCGCGCCGCGCGCCGCTGCGCCTGCAGCCGCTGCCGCTGCCGCCCACCACGCGGCCCTACCGCCCGCGCGCCGCGCCGCAGGTCTCCTCGCGCCTCCCACCTCACACCTCACACCTCACACCTCCCCATCATCTTTGATCACATTTTATGAATGTTTGAAAAGATAATGGATATAGCTCTATTTGCTGATTTTAATTTAAAGTATAAAAGTATTATTATAAAATACTATACTCCTGGGAGGGTAATTTTAATTAAACTAAAATTAAACATCCTCCTTATTTTTGGGGAAGAAAACAGCCATTTATCTAAAATAATATGTACGTATAACGTTATGTATTCTCCTGGTTGCAGGTGCCGGAAACGCCGGTGAAGAAGGAAGCCGACATGGAGCCGGCGCCGCGCAAGGCGACCGCGCGGCCGCGCGCGCCCACCGCGCACCAGCGGCTCGGCACCGCCGGCGTGCGGTAGGCCGGCGCCGCGCCGCCGCCGCCGGCGTCGCGCCGCCGCCGCCGCTGCGTTGATCTCACGCGTGCTATTGTCCAGTACTCGCAGGACGATGGCGCTCCTAGTATATTGTGTTAAGTTGTCGTGGCCGACCTCGCGGCGAGGTCGCGGCCCGAGTCCGTGTTCCCGGGGAGGCCGCGGCGCGCGTCGAGCCGCTATATTTTTTACGAGACCCGCTCGGCGCGTCGCCGCAGCTCGTACATAGGTTATTTTGAGCGTTTTGTTTTATTTATCGTTGTTGTTTTTTATTTGTTTGTATATTTATTTTATTTTGTACTCCGTCGGAGCATGTGATACTAGGTAGATTGTTATATTCCATATTTAAAAATTCATGTGAATGTGAAATTGTAAAATATTCTCAGTGGATTTGTAATATTTATGAGCCGCCAGGTGATCGCGTACCCGTTAGCTTATTGTCCGAGTGCGTTACCAAAGATTCAGTCCATTCCACGAGTGCGATCCCCCGACCTGATCTACTATGATCGAGTTGCTTTACTCGTAAATTTTGTTTGTGATTTTGTTGTACCTATATTAATATTTTATTTCGAGACACGATTTCTAGTCAACGGTTCTTGTATACAAATATTGTAAATATTATATTGTAGGTATTTAAAAAGTATATAGACGTAGTATAGGTAGGTTGCTAACGTTCGCACAATACTTTTTGAATACTGGTAAATAAATCGATCGTCTAACATTGTGGTAGCGATAAACCAAATATAAATATTATTTTATTATGCAAAATCATGTGAAATGAAATGTCCTATTTAAGTTAAAGTATTTGCTTCGCAAATTATTTATGTACGTGCGTGATATATTAGATAATTATGTTCTTATAAATTGTAGTGAAAATATAATTTGATCGGCTTTCGTTTGTATATTCGGAACGATAGGAGGGAATCATGTGATACGTCAGTGGAGACCGCTAGTCAGCCGTGCCGCATACACGCTTATACTCACAAATAAAATATTGAATTTTTTGTTGTCGTTTCCTTTGCTCTTTCTACCTTCCATCTGCCAAACTTTATTATCATCAGATTTTTCAAGTTTTCTCTAGTTAAAAAATCTTATATGCATTTCGGCAAAAACTTGTTATAATTAACAGGACATTTTACAAAATAATGTCATTCAAGTTTAGATAAGGCGTTTTGACTTGTAAACGTGTAGCGAAATTGTTATGGATTTCGTTTGTAACAATTTTAACCTTTGTATTATTTGAATTAATAATTTGATATTTTTTACTTAACTGAGTATTAGAATTATATATTTATTATTTATATTATAGGACATTTATAAATAACGTATCGTTCGAGAATAAAAACATTATGCTGGCCCCAAATAATTGGAATAATGGCAGGAAAGTAAAATTAAATTATTCAAACATGTATAAATATTAATAATTCGTACTTTTTATTGCACTAAACATTAGAAATATCATACAAAAATTACAAACAATTAAAACAAGATATTTTTAATACAACAGTCAGAGACGTTATTACCATATTCACTTGTGATTTTAAATATTTCACTTAGGTAAGTAAATAATACAGACAAAATAATTTTATATATTTAAGTTTAATAATTATATTTGTTTCTCATTTAAAATAAATTTATATTAGTATTAGGAAATAAAAATTTTTAAACCTAAGTACCTATCTTACTAATATAATAAAATTGTAACCAGACGATGTCTATACATTGGATATAGAAAAAAAAATTATGAATGGTCTAAATAAAAATAACAGATAAAACTACACAATTCAGTCATTACACAAAAATTATTGCATCAAATTGTTTACAATTTTTAAAGTTGGTGTTTCTTTATCAGTTTCTTATATTATTATCACAAGGAAAATATAAAACCTATAAAACTAATCGTAATGTTTAATTCTTAAATCGCTCGGTAGAGGCGCATCTTCAAATAGTACGCCATAGACTTAGGATAGTTAATATACAGATCGCAAATGACGTTATTATTGTTTGTCAGAAAAAAGGTAATTTAATTTAAAAATTAAGAAATAATTATGGTTAGTTAACTTTTTTTCTTAGAAATAGCTCCTTAGAAGACAGATCAATTATTTAGTTATTATCATATTGATATACCGCTACCATAGACAAAGGATACTACCTGACAACGTATATGAATTTTGCTATTACATTTTGAGCATAGATTAAGGATAGTATCATACACAATTGATAAATTATCAAAAAATATATGTCAAATCTTTAATTTCTAGCGTAGAAAGAGAAACTTAATCTTTAATCTATAACTTTAACATTGTCACCACCTATAGTGATGTATTCGTCTTAGTCGATATTAATAATTGTAATTATTTAAATATTACTATAACAATTAATAATATTATAAATAATTAATTAGTCATATAGTCTACTCTGCTTATATATATGTCTGTCACGCCAGTCTCGTTAGATAAGGCAGAAACAATAGAACGCCAAATGCTGCGATTCAAACACACCTCTTTCGCTATTTTGTTTCTTCAATAATAATATCTACTGAACGCACTAAAACAGAATAGTTTTGAATACATAAAAACAAACTAAATCTAACTTTAAATAATTTTATAATTTCTAATTATTTTACAATGGAGATATTACAGGAATATTTAGAACCCGGACCTAGCCAAATATATAATACAAAAAGTTAATTCCAAGTATATTTTCGTTTAACCCATCTTTTTTGTATATTTCTGCTTTATATTCTATTACAAAATTAATTTCAAATAAAACATTTCATAAAAAATTCTTAATAGATCAATATCACTTTGGTTGTCACTCATTGCAGGAATGATATGAAATCAGTAAATATTTATTTTTGTGTCATATTGAAATTTAGAATAGAATACAGTGAATGAATGAATGACAACTCTTTCTTGTTCCTTTCAAAGAATGAATTTATAGAGTATAAAGATTAACAACATATACACAATATATAGGCAACAATCGGCGGCTTTATCGCGAAATAGAGATCTTTTCCAAGCAACCTTGGAATGGGAAGGAATAATTATAATTGTGTTTGGTTAAGACGTATAAGAAAAATAATAAGGCTTAAAAAGGGAGAAAAAAGGGTTAAAATAAATTTCAACGAATAACTTGTAGGTTTATCAAGTTGTTATTTTTTTTTAATTCTACTGCTGGGTTCTAAAAGTTGGTATCTGTTGAGAAGAATCCTCAAGAAACTCAAATTGCTTTTTTTCAATTGTTTTATGTACAAGATAATTTTATATTTGTATGAATACTGTGACTATAATTGGCATTGCGTTCTATTTATATATATTATTCAATGTAAAATAAACAAACAAAATTTGCATATACAATACAAATATTTATTTATATATTATATAAAATATTTCTTGACAATAAATGTTTTAATAATTTTCTTTGCTATTTTTACATTGCTGATAAATGAATTTGTCAATAATTTAACAAATATGGTTTAGAAATAGACAACAACGTAAAAACATTCTTATAATTATATAACAAAATTAAGATCACTCTATAATGATTAAACAATGACAAATCAAGATTTATGTTATGCAGTATACAATGTCGACTAGTAATACATCTAACTTACAGTAAAAACTATTGGAGTTATTACTGGAACCATCGAAAAATTTCGATAAATTGATTTTAAATGACTAAAAAACCCTGTTTCTAATTTTAGAATACCTCTCTTCTTCCCTTGCCTTACTCTACCTCTTCTTTTATTCTTTTCTCCATTTTACTACCTTAATTCATATTTTTTAACTCTACTTATGTACCTCTATATAGTTTACAATACTAAAGATGTTAAAAAATTATCCAAATTACTTTGAATCTATTTCACTTTTTTCAAAATTTTATGATAAGAAAAATATTTTCTCTAAATTGTGAAATAATATACAATCTGGTAATGCTGCTGCATGTTAAAAATTTCTTTTGCCCATTTTCATAGACAAAGATAACGTCTAATAGTGATGTACTTATATCGATATTCCTAAGATCAGCAGACTGTTGAATTATGTATATATGTAACGGGAAATTAATGAACTCACCGTATTATTGACGTTTTCGCTTTGCGAAATAAGACGCTGGAACGCAAAACACCAAACGCTCTCTGAAGAAGATTTCTGGATGAACTCGAAACAAATGTTGGAAACGACAAAAAACAGAAAGTTTATTAATAAGTAATGCCGTTGAATTAATAAAAAAAAAAATTAGTTTTTCAATATTTTATATGTGCTATAATATAATATAAGTATACACTTGTACAGATCTCTTACAGTTTAGAGAAACAGTACCGAGTACCAAAGCTGTATTACAGATATGTGGATAATTTGAGTGTGCAATTCTATCTGAAAGAAAAGTCAAGTGCTGAATTGCACATTCAAATTATTACTTTTACGTCTAACATATTATTTTGGAATTGCCTATTCTAATTATTAATACCTAATTTTTTTATAAATTTATTTATTAACACTTTCATACGTTCATTTTTTTATGATATTTAGAATGGCAAACAAGCTGGACGGCCTACTTAATGGAAAGTGGTAACCGTCGCCTATAACAAGTTTCGTGCATGATGCGTTGCCATTCCTGAGGACTCAGGTATTATTCCTCTGTACCCTGTAAATTCACTGCCATATCTCACCTTTCAAACCGAAACACAGGTATGTAAACACAACTGCTTCACGGTAGAAACACGAATGGGACAGAGATGACCAAGAAAATGACTTTTGTAGAAAGTCTCCTTCTGGTTAATTTTTGATTTGAATTGAGGCTATTGTTAGTGTTATAAGAAATGAGTAGAATTTGACATAATTTTAATATAGTTAATTTAAATAAATTGCCTTATGTATGTGTGTGTGAGATTATATGAATGTGCCATTTGTTTTTCAGGATCGATATCTTAGTTCAACTACAGGAGCATAAAATACATAAATAAAATGTTTTCAAAGTTATGTTGATAATATTTTCTTGCAACTGCTTTAACAACATATTCACTGCCTTTAGTAATAATAAATAAATTTGTTATGCAATTAAAAAAAAATATAAAAGTATCGACAACTAAATTATATGCGCACTTCACTAGACACGTAACATTTTTAACCGTCGTTCCATTTTAAAATCTTTCGAGTGCTTTGTTTCGGTTGCAAAATGTGAAATTTATTAATATTGTCTTAATTAACATCAAGAATGACGGAAAAATTGAAGGATTATCAGGTTTTAGACGTATTATGTGGTGGTACGTTCTATAAAGTGAAGCACAAGGTCACCGGCAACATATTTGCGTGGAAAGCATACAATTGTTCCGCGTACTCGGACGAACAAATACAAAATATTTTTATTGAAGTTAAAATAATAAAAAAAGTGATATCGGAGAGCTTGCTGCGCTACTACAACGCCATACTTCACGGGCCTTCCAAGACGTTATACTTCGTCCTTGAGTACACCTCTTGGCGCAGTGTACAGGAATTGATTCAGCTTTGCGAGTCAACCAACAAACACATCGTCGAGAGCTTTATTTGGCGACTATTGTTCGAGCTCGGCCGTATTTATAAACAAATCGAGAACTTGCAGTTTACTGTGTTGCAAAAATGTATCACGACAGAATCTATCTTTGTGAGCGAAAGTGGAGAACTTCGGGTAAACTGCTTTGGTTTGGATACTGGAGTGAAGGAGGACGTGATGCGGCAGGTCGGAGTCGTGTTGTATTCGCTATGTTACCGCCCTGGCTCTACTGAACACCAAATCAAGGAGTTTCACTATAGTGATGACCTGAGAGACGTTGTCAGCCTCTTGACGGATGATAGGAGTGTGAATTTGCGACCAGATGTTGTCCTGTACCATCCCACAGTATTAGCCAACATAGATACACTATCTGGTCCTATGGTTTTGAATGATATTCTTGAACCTGCCGACTATACACATATTTCTTCAGATTCTAACAAATGTGACTCTCAGAAGGCAGTAGATCTCTGTAGACCTGTGAAGCCACTCCCAAGGAAACATTTGAAGATTATAGACAGTCCTATTTACTCCAATATCATTCCCAGAAAGAAGCATGAACAAGAACTTGAGGCAACAAAATCAGATCGTGGGTCTTTGTCTCCAACACTGAAAGCATTAGCATTGGAGTTGCCTGGCTTTGTCCCACGCAGTAGGAGACCATATTCTAGTGTTCTAGACAAATACAACTGTCCACAACAGGTCTCAGAAGAAACTCTGAGCCAACAATGGATGTCCCGACTGGTAGCACTGAGGCATAGAGAGGAATCACTGAACAAAAGGGAGAGAGAGTTGATTGCTAAAGAAATAGTGAACAGTCCAGCTGCAAAAGTAGTTCCAAATGATGACTCTAGAGTTGCGTGCGAAGGAGAGAGCAATGGTATTACACTGCCACCGCTCATGACTCAGATGTGTGTTGAGAGAAATATGTTTAGTTCGCGGCGTCGCCAGCGGCGGTTGAGTTCGTCGCGCTCCCGGCCGCGCCGCAAGAGCTACGCATACGAGGAACTCGACAGCTCGTTGTCGGCCGACCCTGGTGATGGGAGCTTTATCATTACCGCCACAAGATTCACCAAGGAGAATATGCCGCGGCGCAACATTTTTCCTGAAGTGTCGACAAAGAAAGTTCATTTCACATCTGCCAATCCCTTTACTGAGAGTGATGAGAGTGTTACTTTGACTTTTTATGACTTGGAGAATATGAACAGTGAAGGTTATCAAGTACCACGGCAGCAAGAGGGGTGCAAAGATATTACAAAGTTTAAGTACTTGGATCCAGAGAAGTTGATGACTGAAAAGAGAGCTGCTGTGAACTGGACACATTCATCACCCTCTAAACAGGCTAAAATGACAAAGAACATCTTCAGTGACATGACCAATATGAGTCAGAGTAGTATTAGGAAGACTCCATCTAAATCGAGTCTCGTATCTAAGAGTTCAAACACATCAAGGTGTTCAGTGCTGTCATCGAAGAGCCAATGGAGCATGGACTCGAGTTGTGGCAAGGTGAGTGATTGTATTGCTGATAGGACCCGCTCCAACACGCGTCAGTCTCTCACTCAGACACCTACCGTACCTCTAGATGTAAAAAAATCTAAAAGTAGGAAGTCTCTGTTGCCTTTTAAAACTCCATTTAAATTTAAAACTTCTACAAAGGTGTAAGTAATACTCGCTTCTCTATTATTGTGGATAATTAATTTTAACTACAGGCATGAAATAGTTATAATACTCAAATAGAGGCATCTTAAAGAGTTTGTAGTTATTAATTGGTATTGTAGAGTAGTGCTAATTAATAATTTGAAACCTTTATTAATAAGTGATCAAATTGTCTCCTTCCTTTAATTTTTTTTTTATTTAAGAATATTTTAAGAATTTTCATATGTCTTTGGAGTCATCCTTATAAGATTATTATCAAAAAAGATGTAAAGACTCCATTTTGATCTTTATAGAGTATTCAACTATATAGAGATGCTATTATTTTATACATTGTCAATTAATTTGGTTGTGGTTTTCCATTAATTAGAAAAGCATAGTTTAGTTTCTATAAGTGCTTAATGTTTCATTTTTTTTTTTATTGTAATTAGTGATTTGATCTGGAACCAGATTCATATTTGTAGTGATCTTGTGTGATTTGTATATACATGATACGGACATCTACCCACCCTAACCTTAGCATAGAGAAATTATATATTCTTTGAAAATATGACATTCCTGTGTGCTGTTGTAAAGGCAGTTAATTTTGAATAAAGAATGAAGTGTTGCACGTTATGAATTGATATAACAGAATGCCCCCTGCTCCGCCTCATAAAATAAAACATAAAAATATTTTCTTCAATTTAAAGATTACACTATTTACTCCTACATGAATAAATTATATGATATTTGAATTATCGTCATCTGAATAAATTTAGTATCAAATATAAAACAGCCAGATGATACCAATTGCTTGGTTTTCATCTCCGTCCCTATGCTAGTACCCTGGTTATTATTACTTCCCAAATTGAGTATCGACTGAACATGCAGTGTGCAATACCTTCGTAGTTATGGGCAGGAGGCAACACTGTCCATACTACTGCATACATCTTACCTTGTTGCCTTTTACAGTGTGCTGCATATAAGAAAACATGCTATACAACTACACTTGAACTACTTGTACAACAGCATACTTGTATAGATTTATTATAATATATTATGTGTAGTAAACAAATTATGTTTGTATATATTTCTATCATTGAATTTTATTGAATTGTATTTGCTTGTAACTAGAAAGAGAATAATTTTTATTTTATAATTAAGTGGAGTTTGCAACAACTAAACAGTGTTTAATTCATGTAAATTTTATTTTTAATCTTATGTAATTTTTTTTTTATCACATTGAGTATGGTTGCTGTGTGGTATCACTGTCTACTTCACCATTTGCGATATTAACTTAGGTTATTATAAATATATGAGTTTAGTTATAGATCAGAAACAGTATAATATTAAGTATTGTGATCATTTTTAGTCATTTTGTCTTCCATTTTGTATTTTAAAATTATGACAAAAATAGACACATTATTTTAACTACATGTATGGGTATCATAAAGGTCGATGCAGACTCACAGAGCTCTGGCAAGGAGCAGTGTCGGACGCAAGGACTATTGTGGACTCGCCATTCGGTACGTTGCTGTCATTAGATGACAATTTCAACCATACGGTCAAGTAATAAAAGTTATATTTAGATGGTAACGAATTAATGTTATCACTGCGACTCCGTCAGTTTGCGTCGATCCTAAATGCAACAACAAGCGTAATTTTTTTTGTCCTATAACAACAATATCATCGGCAGTGAACTAATTATTTTTAATTAAATGTTTTATAATTATGTCTTTTGAATTTAAATGAATTACCTTTATGAAATTATTATTGTCAATAATAGGCTAGAATATAGAATATAGATACAGAGAATCTCCAATTGTTGCCATGTATTTTTTTATTTATAAAATATATTATAGCTTTTATAACACATCAGCTATTGATATTGGTAATAATTTAGGGTACTTATGTAGCAATTAAATATAAAGGGCCTTAGTATGTGTTTTATTATACCACTTAGTGTAATATCACATTTTTTTTAATTAATTTCATAAGTATTGTATATTTATCCTTTTTTCTTCTTCAGGGCCTTGTCGGCGCCCTCCACAAATTTCTTAGGTAACCCATACTTCTCGATTAACAATTTCGCCACATAATGAGTCTGTAAGAAAATTGCAAAAACATTTTATAAATATATAAAAGAAGTACATATATAAATTATTTAAAACAATATACTAAACCTTAATAATGGAGTAGAGTCAAAAGATATACAATTGAGTGTTAGCTAACACAAAATATTTTAATATTTGTTTCACATGACAATAAGTCTTCAGCCAGACTCAAAAAACTGTATGGTGGGTAGTTTTTGTAAAAACGATAAATCTCATTCAGCAGGTAGGCTGTTATAACAGCCTCGATGGCATCTTAAATTATTTCCAAAGAAATTAAATTAATTAAAATTATAGTATATTCTGTGCTGTCCATGGTGCTATTATGTCTATGGGTATTTTATTTTTTAACCCGCCATCGAGTATCTCTGCACATCCAAAAGGTTGATTGGTAGAGAATGCCTATAGCATTAAGTACGCTTTTTGTACCACATTTTATTGGTCAATAAACATTGAATAAAATAGGTGACTTTTCACTTGAAACTGAAAATAGTTTTGGTAAGAGACATGAGATGTGGAAGGTTTGTTTTGCTTACCTGATCTCCTTGCAGCATTAGCTGATCATATTTGGCGCCAGGCGACCGGGTCACCCCGCAGGAGGCCGCCACCCCATGTTGGCACTCTTGGCTCAGGACTTGCAAGTTGAATCCGAAAGACTCGAGGTTCGATACCAGGGTTACCTGAACGAAATGCGATCATTATTAAACTGTTAGAATCGAATTAAAAATCTTCTTTATTCGAATAAAATTGTTTACAAGCTCTCTTCTTTACGATTCTGCTGCTGGGTTCGAAAACGAAATACTTGTTATGTAAAATAGACAAAAACCTGTGAGAAATTTAGCAGTGACTCTCTATACGTCTACGACTTGTCAGGTAGTGGTAATTTTTTTGCGATATAAACTGCATTTGGATTGTCCCATGTACTGCTGTGTAAAATATGCAGTTTTTAAGTTAGGTAGATAACACCTACTCGATTACAAATCTGAAAACCATTTAGCTAATTTCTCGTGATGACGTTATGAATTCGAGAGAGTTTTAAAAGTCTTGTAGCTAATTTTGGCGAGAAACAAGTCAATGTACAGACTTGATTCGTAATCAGGATTTTATTCAAGTATAAAACTCAATAAAAAAGTATCTTATTATTGTAAATCTGTAGTGTATATTTATTATCTAATGATTTTTTTTTTTTATACAACTTAGAATGGCAAACAAGCTGACGGCCCACCTGATGGAAAGTGGTAACCGTCGCCTATAGACATGAGCAGTACCATGCACATAACAGAGTATACAGTTGCCATTCCTGAGGACTCAGGTGTTATTCCTCTGTACACAGTAAATTCACGCCATATCCCACCCTTCAAACCGAAACACAGCCATGCAAACACAACTGCTTCACGGTTGAAACACGAATGGGACAAAGGTACCCAAGCGATCGACTTTTGTACAAAGTCTCCTTCTGGTAATGGTATGGTCTAATGTATACACAGGACCACATTGTCTGGAAGATATACCTTGTACTGATAAAGCGGCTGTTGTACTTATTCAATACATTGACTGTTCTCTTTTTTTTAATACCATAATATTTTTAAATAAAAACACACCACATACCTTTTTGTTACCGCTCCTGGTTGCAACCTGCATTTTAATAGGTTCCAGTTTGGACTTGATGAGCTTGACGCTGCCGTCCGCGAACCGCATCTCTGTACTCGAAGTCATCTTGTTCTGTACACCTGACATCAACTCCTCCCATTTTATGAATTCCTGGTAATTGTTATATTCAATTATATATAATTAGTAAGTACAAGAAGTATATATAAACATGTAATAGCTGCCGGTTTAACTTGGTGTAACTAGATCGAAAAAGTTCGACTAGTTTTGGGATCAATTCGAGACCCTTAATCATGAGATATTATATATATTATAGTATTATAAATTTGAAAATGTATTTGTGTGTTGCCTGTTAGCATCTTAATGAAATAACTAATTACTATAAAATTTGGTATATACATCCGGTTTAGTGAACAACATGTCCCGACCACGTGGATGAAGTCGCAATCAATTAGTATTGAATAAAATAAAAAAAAAAAAAATTTACAAGTTTGATAAACTACATTAGATAAAAAAAAATGGATTTTAGTCGAGTATTACCATAATATAATAACGGAGTATCCATTAAATACGTTAGCTCTTCTACCACTGAAATTTATCGCACTTTTATTTTAATCGGTTAAAATGGAATGTTTAGTCCTGTTTGCGCTTATAGTATACGCTGGTGGGGCACCAGTGAGGATGAAAGCAGGTCAGTTGGTCTATCGTGACTAATTTAACTAAACACGATGGTTTCCAGGAAGAACTGCGTGGAGGTCGACTTGATAAGATGCTGAGGTGATGGTGCTACTGGACCTCTTTATTACCAATTGATCGCGTTACCTGCTCAGGTCTGCCGACGATGTTGGCGAGCCGGGCGTCGAGCGTGACGGCGGCCCTGTGCTGCGGCGCGGCGAGCGCCCGCGACTTCACGTACTCCGTGAGCGTGGCGCGTACTTCGAACGACGTTAGCGGGGTGCCTTTCCTGAGGAATAAAGCGAGTAGTTATTTGTATGTTTTTACTATTGAGAGAAATGTTTGGAATTTATTTATTGACTAGTGACCCGCCCCGGCTTCGTAGGGTTTTTATGGTTTCCTTTTTTAATGAAACACAGTCAGTACTGTACTTGGTGATAATTAATATGGCTGTCTATATGTGAAAGAACCACCAACAAATGCATTCTCAAAGCGAGTCGACGTTAGGCAGGTGGACGGTCGTAAAACTATAAGCTAAATCTTTTTGTAATATGGATATAAAATATATTACGCCGATCTTAAATAATAATTGAGGGGGGAAAGGGATTGTTAGTAATGGAGACTGAGAATCCTATTGCTAGCAATATACCTAACCAGGTCGACCTCCTCGCGGTTCCCCCTGGAAAATATCATGGTTAATTCCTGATGAATTCATCATGACTAACTGGCCTGTTTTCATTCTCATCTATCACCCTTCACTGGTACTCCGCCAGCGTATCCCGTTAGCGCAGGCGGGGTTACCATACCATTCTCACCCATCAAAAAAAAAATTGAGATAAGGGTAGGGAGATGATGACAATAGCAGTTTAAGACTAAGTATTATGTATTGATCGGAAGTACTTAGAGTAAGGAAATACCAAATGGTATGAATATAATTCGCTTGAGTGTGACTCCGTGTAGATATAGAAAAATTAATAGTAATGTATGAGTGAGCTGACTTGTGCTCCGGGAACAGGTCGACGACAGCGGCCGTGACGCAGTGCACCTCGCGCACGAGCGGCGGCGCGGCCGGCCCGGCCCGCTGCCCGCCCCGCTCGACGCTCCGCTCGCCGCCCCGCTCGACGCGCCGCTCGACAGTGTGCGCGGCCACGAGCGGGTGCGCTGCGTTGATGCTCACCACCGCGTCCACCCCCTTCTCTATCTCGCGCACTTCGAGGAGTCCTTGCTGAAATACAACAAGTGGATTCTGTTAAAAAACTGATTTCATTCACGGCATATTTTTTTTTATTGATTTTTAATCATTGATTCATGAAATTTATATTTTAATTTTATTAATGTATAATAGTACATTACTGCAGCGGCCAGCAACTGAGGCATTGATGGACGAACGTGCAAATGTGGGCTGAGGCGTAGCCGAGGCATACATACATGAGTCCATCAATGCCTAGTTGTGGCTAAGGCTTGTATAGTACTTTTCTCAAACAAGGCGTGGAAATAAAAAACACAATTTTACTTTTTAAGTTCAACGACGAATAATGAACAATAATTTTTCACGTGCCAAACGTTACTTTATTTTTTTTTCAATAAACAGCTTTCTATTTGCAAGTCAGTTCGAAATTTAAATAAAACCTTTTATTAGTTACCCCCTTGGGGAGCCATGTTTCGAAATAAAAGGTCATTCCATTCTTAAATTACAGGACAGATATGAGTTTACATAGTAACTTATCTGGCCGCAAAACACGACAGATATGGATTTTCATACAACATTTGCCGGCCGCTGCCCGCATGTATCTGGCCAGTACGGTAATTTTGATTTATCTCGAAGTAGATTGTTAAAATAATGCTCACATTTCCAAGCATGTTTGAGAAAAATATAATGTATATAATAAATAAAATGGTTAAGGTTTTATAAATGTGGTTTATATAGTACCTGTTGCATGTTCTCTAAGAATTTCCCCATTTTCTTGTAGCTCGACTTTTTAACGTCCAACGTTCGGTCGGCAGGACACAGAGGCATCAGGTGGTTTCTGGAATTGTTTATGTTGAAATTATAAATAACATGCTCACGACTGTAACCCCTGATGTGATGGACAGAGACGATTAATGAATTGTTGACATTGTGTTTAAAGTGATATTCGACATCTCCACATTTGGTTAAGCATAACTTGGGTTCATCTTAAAGGCGTCTCTCGGAATAATTTGGTTTGTTAAACTACATTATCCATAATCAGAAAGTCAGTGAATTTATAAATAGACATTTTTCGACATTTATATAAGAAAAGATAAATAGGGTGTAATGTTCTAAGTAATACATGTTTCGGATTTTTGGCGAAATGATGGGTAGATATTAATATGTTAACATTTTTTTTTGATGGAAAATACCGATAGTTTCTTGTGATGATAAGAAATGATAATATTTAAATGTAAAATAAAATCAAACTTTGATACCAAAATGTTATAAGTGACACTTAGTTCTGTTTTACATCATGAGGTAAGTATGATCGTGACAGAATTGGACTGGCAAGAGTAGGGAGTAGCTCGATAATATAGGCACAATCAGGTTTTGTTATAATCAATTAACAAAATAAAAAATGGAAATTTCTTATCTTTTTCTGTATTCTGCTATCTTCGTCAATCGTGAACCGATTTGATCTTATTTAATGAAAGGCATGTTCATGTGGAAAGTTATTTATACCACTAACGTTTCTGGTTCATAGTTTTAAGTTTGAAATTGAAGCTTACTTGATATACACTATGTTGTACCCTAACATATATAACAAGGGGGAAAGGGATTGTTAGTAACGAAGACTGAGAATCCCATTGCTAGCAATATATCCAACCAGGTCGACCATCATATCATGGTTAATTCCTGATGAATTCATCATGATGGGCTAACTGGCCTGTTTTCATTCTCATCTATCACCCTTCACTGGTACTCCGCCAGCGTATCCCGTTAGCGCAGGCGGGGTTACCATTCCATTTTCACCCATCAAAAATAAAAAAAAAACATATATAACATACAACATATAGTATAACAAATATTATATCTAAATAATTTTAAACAGCTTGACATGACAGGATTTGAACCCATATCTTGTCCTCCAGGCCTAGAGTTCCCAGTTATCTATCAGCGAGTACAGGATATGTTTTGGTATTCTATAACAATATGAATGGACCTTACTTGTACAGCAAGTTAGTTTTGAGCGGCAGCTCTATCCGCTTGCTCTCTAGTTTGATGAAGGAGAGCAGGCACCACTGCAGCAGCCCGTCCATGTCAGTTGGTATACTGGACTCCTCCGACAGTGAACATTCTGTAGATTATCATCATTAATTGATCAGTATATGTTTACAAAATGGGGTTGGATAGGACATATGCTACGTTGCAAAATTGACAAATGTAGTAAACAGGTAACTTTATGGTATCCAAGACAAGACACTAGAAGAAAGGGGCGCCCGAAAACAAGTTGGATAGACGACATCCATCAAATCTTAGGGCCCTCCTGGAGTAGAGTGGCGGAGGATAGGGTACAGTGGAGAGTTGGAGATCTATGCCAGGAGGCATACTGAATTGAGAGATATAATAAACAGAAAGGGAAAACATGTCTTACTAGGGTTATAGAGAATTCGGAGTGAAACGGCTTATATATATGTTTACATGGATACCTCGAGAAACGGAAAAGAGGTCGATCAAACAGACGCTGGACAGAGGCACTAGTGTTAGCAAATATACCAATGTAGATGAGGATAGCGTAAATGGGGATATGTGGGAGGAAAGGAGGGAAGACTACGCTAAAAAGCCGACCACTACGATTTACACCTCCACAATATTTTATATATCTTTCTACTTGGGGTGAAAGGGATTGTTAGTAATGGAGATTGAGAATCCAATCCATCCAATCCAATATACCCAACCAGGTCGACCTCCTCGCGGTACTCCCTGGAAACTATCATGGTTAATTCGTGATGAATTCATCATGATGGGCTAACTGACCTGTTTTCATTCTCATCTATCACCCTTCACTGGTGCTCCGCCAGCGTATCACGTTAGCGCAGGTGGAGTTAACATACCATTTTCACCCATCAAAAAAAATATCTTTCTACTTATATACCAATGCAAAGTCGGGGCAGGGTGGATCACTAGTCAAGTAATAGAATTATAGTAAAGTGGATTTATACCATCTGCAATACTATCTTCATTTTCAACATTCTCTATAGTTTCAGTTTGTGGCACGTCTGGAATCAATTTGGGTTCATTTGGCACCGGCACTGGATCTGGTTGTTGGGTTTGTTTTCCTAAACTTGGCCATTCTTCTTTCACACTTGGTTGTATACTTAACTGGAAAACCAAACAAAATATTTTATTTTAAAAAAATTTGTGACTACACATTATATTTTAAAATTACAGTTGAACTTTTTACTTCCGAGTGCCTGGGCGATGCTTCTCCGCGTTTCATACATGCTTAATATTGAAGATGTCGCGTTGAGAGACGACACTGTGGGAACTGTATGTACACTATGGATTACCAAGACAGTCACAACAACGCAGGCGAAGACTACAGAGTCTAGCTGTTCATACGCGAAGATCTCCGAACGCTATCTTTCTTATCTGTGACGATGCCGCGAACGCTTACACTTCACGCCTGACAGCCGCTCAAGACTAAGATCCCGGATGGTCCCTAAACTAGTCGAGCTCTCTCGAAAACGTTAATTTAACTTACATGTAATTACTGTTTATTACTGAGTACAGTGACTCACGACCTGCATGTCTTATGTAAGTGTTCATATGCTACTATTATGAGAGTTAAGGTATCGCCCTCTGTAGTCAGGAGTTTCTTGGCTACCATTGTCATATGTGAAACCCCTGATGTGGTTCAGCAGATAACAGTCGTCCAGAGCACAAAAAAAAGTGACAATCATTGTTAAATGATCCAATCATTTAAATCCAAAAATGTGTGTAAACATGAATTTTATAACCTATGGCTGTTAGGTGTATATATGCTTGAGTGTCAAATTTATTATATTAACAATTAATTTGAATATAGAAAACTAACCTGACTAATATCCATTGTGATGCTCTCAGGGTTAGTACCGCCGTATGATGGTGGGCCCAGTTTTGGCCTTTCGATTTTTTCAAATTTTGTTTCTTTGCATAACAGATCACCATATACGTGGATAGTTTCCAAACATGTCCCACTGAAAATATAAAAAGTATTAATAGCAACAATTAAAAAAAATTCTATAAACTCTATGAGTTCTGATGTTTTATAAATTATCTTTTTTTTTTTTTTAATGGATAAAAATGGCATGGTAACTCCGCCCGCGCTATCGGTATACACTGGCGGGGTACCAGTGAGAGGTGATAGGTGAGGATGAAAAGGCAGGTCAGTTAGCCCATCGTGACGAATTCAACGATAAATTAGTCACGATAGTTACCAGGGGGAACCGCGTGGAGGTCGACCTGACAGGGTATATTGATAGCAATGGGGACTAACCTCTCCATTATTAACAATCCCTTCCCCCCTTTATAAATTATCAGAAAACTAGCATTAATGTTAATTATCATCATCATCAACAAAGCAACTCATTAATATCCAATGTTGAGCATGAGATCTCTTGATCTTGCTTTGAGGATCATTAGTCTGGTTTTACTGTCTGATCATGTAGGTCCCACTATAGAATAGGCCATCCCTTCCTTTCCCGTAGGTGTCATAAGAGGCTACTAAAGGAGGTTGTGGTGGAGGAATAGGCAGCAGCATCCCTCTTAAAACCTCACCAAGAGCCAAACTGTGGTTGCCAACCCGCCTGCTTAGTGTGGCAACTACACCTCTTAAAATGTGGCAAAACCTCCCAAAAGGGGGAGGTTATGTTCAGCAGTGAATAATTAATGGCTGATACAACTTGATAACCTGTCAACATGCTTAAAGCGTTTTATTTTAAGTTTTACATATTTTTCAAGTACTAGTGTATTTATACTTATAACTTGTGACTTTACCTAGTCACCATTAAACATCCTAGTAATGGAAATGAGTAGTGTGAGTAATGTCTCACATGTTGCATTTCTTGTTATGTTGTTTTATATTTTCAGTCCTTAATTTGGCAATGTTGTCATTTTAAATTTTGCCACTCCTCATTATTGCAGTCCTTTCAGACTTGTTTCTTCAATCGATCAAGTTCTAAATTAATATATCCAAAGACTCACCAGAGGGAGACTTTGTACAAAAGTCGATTGCTTGGGTACCTCTGTCCCATTCGTGTTTCAACCGTGAAGCAGTTGTGTTTGCATGGCTGTGTTTCGGTTTGAAGGGTGGGATATGGCGTGAATTTACTGGGTACAGAGGAATAACATCTGAGTCCTCAGGAATGGCAACGCATGGGGGGTATCATGGGTGATACAGTATACTCTGTTATGTCCATGGTACTGCTCATGTCTATAGGCGATGGTTACCACTTTCCATCAGGTGGGCCATCAGCTTGTTTGCCATTCTAAGTAGTATAAAAAAAAAAAAGACTACATAATAAATATGCAATATACATATTATCTACTCACGCTGCCCTCAACAACATGTCCCCACTGGAGAGCAGACAGCGGCCCACTATTGCTGCAGCCGAATTGTCAGATGTGCAAGCTGCCAATAATGTGTTGCGTGAGAACATCGGGAAGCCCACACCGCGGGGGGGCAGTGTCACCCCTGGCAAGTACAGAGGAGCACCACCCAGCACCTGTAATATGCATAATATATACAATAATAAAGTAATAAGGTACAATTTGATTTCTGCCATTAAATATTTAATAATATATTTTTTTGTATTAAAAAGTTTTACATTATAAGTATGTAAATACTTACCAAGTTCATTGTAAATAGTACTATTTTGCCTACTGACTTATTACTTCATTATAGTAAATTAATAAAAGATTTCATTTTTGTTTATAATAGATAAATAAAAATATTTTACTGATCTAAAAAAATCTTGCATTTATTAAAAAGCTACATTAACATTGGGCTGTATTTTTTTCAAAAAGCCCATGGAATGTTGGCATGGGTACTTAGAGATTTTAATAAATGTGAAAATTTGCAAACATGTCTTAATGTTTGTTATTCCATAATTTAAATAGCTCACTAAATTTGGATTTAGTGGATAAATTAACAATTTTGATATAAATATTTACATTTGTTTTAGGCGGGAAAAACAGCTGGTCTAGTTAAGTAATAAAAATCACCTTTGGCAGTACAGGTGTGTGAATAGTGATTGTTGGAATCAGATCTGGAATCTTCCAGAGCGCGCACACAGTTGGCACTAACTGTTCTTCTTTTTCTATGATAATGGGTATCCCATCCACTACATATACTCCTATTGTTTCACCAGAATGCAGCACCAACTTCATACAGCTGCTATTTGATTTCACCGGGACCAGATCTTTAACTTTGTGCTCAGTAACACCCGGGAAATCATTTTGTATACGCTGAGCGAGATGTTTTCTGAAAATTACGAAGAAATCTAAAACAATTCGTCTTTAATCTTGAGTCATTTGAAAGTCATAGAAAAATGGCAATACTTTTCAGAATTCTTTAATGTGTTATTTGATTTTAACTTATAAGGTTTAGCAAACATTGTAGATAACGTGCTCGGATTTCCAGTAATAAATTTTCACTTGAATTATTATAAAAATCTGCTTGCCATGCTTCTAGCGGTGCGATGGTTTTGTTTAATTTTTTTTTTATATTGGACGTACCAAATGATATTTGACAATGTTGACATGAGTGACAATGACATTAACATGACATGACATTGATGCAAAGGTAAAGGAACTAAGCCACTAATCCTTATTATGTTTTAATATATATACTAGCTTTTACCCACGGCTTTGCTGGCATTTATATTAATATTGTTCAACAATTCCGGTTGTTAATATAGGCGGCAATAAAATAGTTACAAAAAAAACAACACCCCTTTTATACGATTCATACAAAAATTGTCCCTCTACCACCCCACCCCTTATAAGTTCTTCGCAAGAAAATATAGACTATTATTAAGATATAGTACTTTATAATATAAGAAAATATATACTATAACCGTCACATCTATCTATATGCTAAAATTCAATATAATCGATTCAAAGGTTTAAGAGTGAAAACGCAACAAACAAACTCACTTTCGCATTTATAATATTAGGATTTTTACAAAGTTTTGAAACATAGATCAAAGATAGTATTTAAAAATTATTTATTAATATATGATATATATGATGATATTCGAGTATTCTGACACTTCCCTACGGTTGACTGGGAGAGAATGTACACATATTTGTACTGATGAATTAATAAATATGAATAAATAAATAATTTGAAAATAAAAGTCTTTGAAAATGTTTTTTATTTATATTTTTTTTAACCAGCTAATCTAAACACCGGTACAGTATAGGCAAGATGTAGTACTAAACGACGGGATACCTCTTTAAATGATTCCTGTCATATCGAGACCTCAGGTGCAATATTTTTTTATACCATTGAGGAGGCAAACAAACATACGGCCCACCTGATGGTAAGCGGTTACCGTAGCCTATGAACCTGCAATACCAGAGGTATAACGCGCGCGTTGCCGACCCTGAAGAAATCTTTTTAACGCCCTTTTGAAGAGCCCCATGCTGTAGTCTTTTGGGAAAACTTCGGCTATAGGCGGCTATCGGGAAAATATAGATTAAAAATCTCAACTCTGAATCTGAAAAGTATAAAAGCGCCAAGGGTTTATGATTAAACACTTTGTAATCCGTAATTGCGAATTTCAATAGAAATATTATTAAAATATGGAAATAATATTTTATTAATTATTGTATAATTTTTTTATATACTTGTAAACACTAGTTTAGGAAGAAAAAATAGGTAAACAGTAGATACAGAAATAATTTAAAACGCCTGTAATTTTTACGCTGCAATTTGCAAGTAAGTAAGAGGAATATACCTATATATGTAGGATCGATAAAGCTAGTTGAGTCTTTACAGAAAACATACGAAACGAGCGATATCAATAGAATATTGGTCATACCAATATTAAAAAAAATGCAGAAATTTTTTTTCATGTATCCAAGTCAATAACATTGTACCTAGACAGTACGTATAAATGTTAGGGGGCGAAGAAATTTTTAACAATGGGGATTAGTAGCCCAATTGCTAGCAATACACATTACCAGGTTGACCTCCTCGCGGTTCCCCCTGGAAACAATCGTGTTCTATTCCAAGTGGATTCACCACGATGGGCTAATTAACCTGTTTTTTAATTCTAACCTAACATCCCTCACCGGTGCCCCGGTAATTTATACTTAGCGCAGGGGAAGTTACCATTTCGTCATCAACCGTTTAAAAACCTATGAATGTTTTGACAATACCAGTTATTTTTTAAATCATCTAATCAAAGTCTACATTATCAATGTATTTTAAGTTTCGCATAAAAAAAAAAGACGCGTTACTCAACAATTGTTAATATTATAACAAGTTTTTAATACATCAACGCTCTATTTAGATTTTATTTTGTTTGTTACCTCTAGTCGCCTTAACTAATGATTACGAAAATTGGTACTTTTGTTTAAATGGATGATAATAAATAGGTAACTCACCCTGCGCTAACGTTGTACGCTGGCGGGGCGCCAGTGAGGGTTGATAGATGACGATGAAAGCAGGTCTAACTGCCTTACGACGAATTCCACTAGAATTAACCACGATGTTTTCCAGGGGGAACCGCATGGAGGTCGACCTGATAGGGTGTATTGCTGCCAATGGGTCAGTTTGACCCCATTACTAACAATCCCTTTCCCCCCGGTATATAGGTACTATATGGGATGTAGAAGGACTTTATCTCGTTCAGTATACAAATTAGTATAATATAGTTAAATCTCGTATATATATTTTTTAGTAGTAATAAATAACCGAACACTTAGGTAGGTACGTAGATCGTAAAATCAGGTCGCGTTCAACATCGGGACACGCCGGGAGCTCGGCGACGGCGGTGCAAGGCAGCGGAGGTCGCCGTAACTCACACGCAACGTATGCCAGTTTTCTTTTAAGAAGTCTCGACATGTCATTCTAGTTTTTTTTAGAAATAAATAGTTAAACAGTTTTCAGTATTAGATTTCAAAATATACTCACGTGCGTGTTCGTAGATAGATTTATTAAATTCTTTCGAGTAAAAAAAAAGAATATTAAAAAATTAAGGAATAAACTATCTAGTTTTACTAACATAGTTTGTAAGGAAATTGTTACTAACAAAATGGACCAAACTGTAGTCTGAATAATAAAGTATTATTATTATTATTTATACAATACATAGCTTTGGGGGAAGGGATTGTTAGTAATGATTATCAGTCCCATTGCTAACAATATACCCTAACAGGTCGACCTCCTCGTGGTCCCCCCTGAAAACCACCGTGCTGAATTCCAAGTGTATTCATGACGATGGGCTAACTGACCTGCCTTTTCATCTTCACCAATCATCCCTCACTGGTACCCCGTCAGCATATACCGTTAGCGCAGACGGGATAACTATGCCATTATCATCCATCAAAAAAAATACATAGCTTTATACAATTTATGATTTGTTTCAAAAAACCAGCGACTTTTATCGTTACAACAATAATATAGGAGAGAAACCGTAGATTAAGGATTATAGATTATATCTATTAAGACAAGAATTGTCACAATCGGTTCAGAATTGGCAAAGCTTTCGCGTCATATACAATAAAAAAAAAAAAAAAAAACAGTCAACTTGAAAGCTTAAAGTGCTTGTACTTCTTAAGATATGGCACGGTTATGACAACAGAAAATTCTAAGAAATTATATAAGCTACATTGTAGTTAATATAATCAATTAAAACATTATTAAAACATCGTAGTAAACAAAATCCCACAGCGCCCTCTCGCGTGGGAGTGCAGGAATTGCAACGCTAATTGATGATTAAATGATATAAATAATAAATAATAATGACCATAAAACTGTCCACGTGTAGTGTCACGCCTACATCTGAATACTGCGTCGTTGGATACGTATTAGGTACATGACAATCAAAATTAGCATCTACATACAATAAGTATATATTTTTTTATTATTACTCAGAATAACAAACAAACTGTCGACCCACTTGATGAAAACTGTTTTTTTTTTTTTTAATTTTTTTATACAACTTAGATTGGCAAACAAGCTGACGGTTCACCTGATGGAAAGTGGTAACCGTCGCCCATAGACATGAGCAATACCTTTTTTTTTATAAAATAGGGAGCAAACGAGAATGCCACTCACCTGATGGTAAGTGGCCATGGCCCCCATGTTCACTCGCAACACCAGAGGAACTACAAAGATACCACGCCGGCAAACACACCACGCCGGCATACACAGACCACCAGTGTATGCCGGCTGAAGAATCCAGTGACCCGGAAGTCGTCGCCTCCGGAGTTGAAGCCGGGGTAGAGGGGTTTACCCCGAGGCCCCTACCTCATCCGCCTACACAACAAGCGGACTAATGAGAAGACTATTGATGATGATGAGGAACTACAGGTGTGCTGCCGGCCTTTTAAAAATGAATATGATGTATCGGTTCGGAAATATTACTGTTAGAAGCTGATTCCATAGCGTGGTTGTGCGTGTATGGAAGTGCCGTTAAAATGCACCATGGAGTACCGCCACCCATCCACATGGTTGAGATGGAACTTTAGTTTGTGACGGGTCGTACGGTAGTGAAAATCTGTAGCACGTATTAGAAATGAACAGCATCATAGACAGTAGTATATCTAATATATAAAATTCTCGTGTCACGGTGTTTGTTACCAAAATTCTTCAAAACGGCTTAACCGATTTTTATGAAATTTTGTATGCATATTGGGTAGGTCTGAGAATCGGCCAACATCTATTTTTCATACCCATCAATGATAAGGGTGACCCACCCCTTAATTTTGTTTTTTGTTTTTTTGACGAAATTTTTTTATTTTTATTTTATTATGATTTTGCATTGAAAAATACAGACAAATTCAAATTTTCACGCTTTTACGATCGACCTCTGTTTTTAATCGCGATTTTTATATGCCGCAATAGGGTTGCAAGATGGCAATTGAATTTAACAATTGTAGTACAAGAAATTTTCATGTATAGTTCTCGAAATAATGTATATGGTAAAACAACGTTTGCCGAGTCAGCTAGTAACTTATAAAAATCACTTTTTTTCACTACATATTATAAAACAAAGTTTTCCTCCGCATCTGTCTGTCTGTTCGCGATAAACTCAAAAACTACTTCACCTATTTTTATGCTGTTTCCACCAATGGATAGAATGGTTCTTGAGGAAGCTTCTAGTATATAATTTGTTAAGTTGCCTATGAGACGCCTCATGAGAATTATCAGACCTCTCTGTTGTATCGAGTTACTACGTAATTTAACGTATATTTCACGTCTTTGTAAATTGTGTTTATTGAATAAGCTTCCCTAGTTGGTATTAGTATCAAATAAATAGTTATGTATCTCCATATCATCTAGATTAGAGGACACTAATTTATTTTATTTGTATCTGTACCAGAGGGAGACTTTGTATAAAAGTCGATTGCTTGGGTACCTCTGTCCCATTCGTGTTTCAACCGTAAAGCAGTTGTGTTTGCATGGCTGTGTTTCGGTTTGAAGGGTGGGATATTGCGTGAATTTACTAGGTACGGCGGAATAACATCTAAGTCCTCAGGAATGGCAACGCATGGGGGGT